CTCTTGATTTGGATCTGATTTGGGTCGATTTGAAGCTACCAGAGGCGATGGAGGGTGAACTCGATCGATTGAGACGATGAGGAGGGTGAAGTCGATCGAATGATGAAGTAGAAGTCGGTTCTCTGGATAATTTTCAGGATTAAGAGGAAAATAAGTGGCTAGGCTATCACTTAATTTTTAAGAGGAAAATAAGTGATAAGTGATTCTGAAAGAAAAAGAAAAACAAACGGTCTGAATTTCCTTATGTCTGACCGAATCAGACATAAATGATAAAATAAGAGTTTTAAAAAAAAAAACACACCACCTTAGATGATAATGACAACTCAAATAAATGAATAATATTTCATCCAAAAAGGAATTGGTAACTTTACCAAATTGTAGTGGGTTCATTTTCAATGGAAATTAAACAATATATTTCTTTAAAAGGTGCTTTTTGGAAGCTTAACATGATATTTGTATATGGGTTTTTTTTTTTTTTCTGAAAATGATTATTGCAACACATTTATAAAATAAAATTAAAATCAAATATAAAAAATGATTTTTGAAGTGTGTTTGGTTTGAGGTTGTAGAAAAAAAGCTTTATCGAAAGAGAGATTTGGACGATGAAGAGTGCGATTAACCTCTGGAAATAAAACCATCGGGTCGTTGAATAAGCAAAATTCTAAATAAACCTAACAAGAACATAATCACGTTCTGTAGGATTTGAACGGAATTGTATGGAATGTCCTACTCCTGCCCGAGCTTTCCGATCACCCAATCCCCTATTTCATGGACATCTGTGTTAGGTAGGCCCAGGGATCACTGATTAGTCGTACGATTTTAAAAATTTGTAAAGGAAAAGGAAATGACCATAAGGTCCTCATATGACCAGCATGCAGGGGCACTAAAATGACAACTCTTAATGCCTGTTAGTGACACAAAAAACGAAATCCGGAACGAAATGCAAACTATAGAGTGTAGCATATTTACTAAAGTCGAGTAATGAAACCAAAGTTTTCATAAACCACAACGATTCTTGTAATTTACTCTTATTGGACTCGACTATTTGGATTTGAAGAAAACACAAAAATATAACATCCGTCTAAACACATAAAATGTTGTAAGATTATAATTTGTTGCCTAGCATCGAGGATCTGAATTGTTATATGATCCGACTTGTATAGAACTTGATGGTCCAACACCCGAAAATAGAGAAAGATCGGGGTATCCAAAATTCAGCTTGTAATTCAAATAATCAGTCATCCTTCTAAATAATATTTCTATTATAATATGTTGAAGTCCTATTTTGTAATCCGATCTAGTCCAAGCATAGCACCTTCAGCAAAATTAAAGACCAGTTGAAGAGCAGTTACATCGACACCAAAAACGGATGGTGAGAGTCTAACTGAAACAAAGACTAGATGTCGGATAGTCAGATAGTTTGACAAATACCAATAGGCAAGTAGGTTTAGAGTGAAGACTTGGGGACCAAGTTTCACCCATCCACATTTACCAACTCTATGAGAAGATGTCTGAAATGTCAACCAAAGTAAATAAAAAGTATGTGTATATGTTTTAAGGATGAGTTGAAATAACAAATGTCTACATCATATTGCTATGAAGAGTTCAAAGGCATATGGATCAACAAATAAGATGAAAACACACGTTAAAGTTAATATCGCAAACACTTCTAGTATAAGAGTTTGTTTATTAGCAGCTCAATAAGCTTAATGGGACTCGTAACTTATTTTGACAATTATTCATGATTGTTTGGTAACAACTTAATGATATAGAAATCGTCTTGTTCAACCAATTTTATCAATAAAAAACTTAATGGAAAATCAACCAAATAAAGCATAAATCATTCATCCCATAAGAACCAACACTCAAAAAGTCAAAAATCAAAAATAGCTTAGTCAAACTGATTTTACATTTAATGACTGTAATGAAGTTCACAACACATACCAACACCTTATAAGAAAAGACATTATTTTGGTATTAAAATGACAATATGATTATAGATAACAACTATATATATATATATATATATATATATATATATATATATATATTCCATTTCTCCATTTCTTTTTCGAAAGCTTGTACTTTCATGGTGTGCATCATCTGTTTCATCGTCTTCTCCTCTTCTTTAAGCTGCATTTCCACTATCATTTCAGCCTGCTTATCAACTGGCTTGAAGTATTCGTTAATCGCAGTCTCCTGCACCACCCAACTCTATATCAATCTCCATAACATTTCATGGCGAGGTGGAACTGCACACAAACATAATTTCCTACACACAAACATAATTTTTACTGCACACAAACATAATTTCCAACAATTAGCCAAAAAAATATCCTAATATGAACAATCAAAAATCATATCATGTTCCCCAATTTATCATCTTTTGAATGCTATATTGTAGGATTAAACAAGACATCCCCTGTTCTAGTCATTAAACAATACATTTATATGAAAAAGGGACAGAATCTTGTAACAGATCAAACCAATGATCCAAAAACTATGAGAAGTGGATCATTGATTAAACAAACACATTACAAAATTTGGTAATGGAATGAAAAGAGCAATTAACATGTAATAGAAATGAATGCATGTAAAGGGTAATTAAAAGGGATCTACGAACCAGGTTGAATGAAGACAGAATTGAAATGGCGATCACAATTCACGATTTCACCTGGGAGGAAAAAGAAGAAGGAAATGAGAATGCTTAACCGTGTATTTGAATTGAAAAGCAAATCGGTTTTGACAAATCACCCTTTCGGTTAAACTAAATTCATTAATTTTTAGTACAATTTTTATTCTATTTAATTTTTTATATCTTTTATTTTATATATTTATTATATTAACATATATATCAACTAAAATATTTTTTTTTACAAATTACGGTATAATTTACTAGGGATGTAAATGATACGAGACAACTCGYGAGTTACTCGAGATCGACCCGGTCAATACTCGATTTGAATAGRCTTGGCTCGAACTCGAGCTCGACTCGATATATTAACGAGTCGAGTCAAGATACCCAATACTCGACTCGAAAAGCTCGCGAAATACTCGATTATTTTATATATATAATTAGTTTTAAAATATAATCAATTTTTATGATAAAGTTTGTAAAATATAAGTAATAAAAATGTCTTATACTTTTAGATATTTATACAAAATTATGCATTTTTTAATTATAAAATTTAATCAATTATTTTTTTTTTTAATCACAATAAAAAAAGACAAAGAAAAACTATAAAAAAAGTTTGTGAAATTATCGTACATTGGAAATGGTAAAGGAGGGGATAAAAAATGTTATAAAAAGATTGGGAGGTAAATAAAATTTTTAACTTTGTTTTTTTTAATGATGAAGTTTGAAGTTGATCATTTAGTTTTATAAAAACTAAGAGAACACCTTTAAGTTAAAATTTATAAGAGAAAAATCCTAAAATTTCATAAATTTCAACGGGTGAGCTTGGTTCAAGTTTGTTTCGAGCTCGAGTTTCATTTGACTTAGGGGGTGTTTGGGATTGCTTATCAAAACAACTTATTAACTTATTTCAGTCTGGTACTGGAGATAAACAGTTTTTTAGTGTTTGGGTAAAAAAAAAAAAAAACTGCTTATACCGGAGCCAAACCGGTAATAAACAGTTTTTGATAAGTTAATCCGTAGTGACTTATGAAAATCGATTTATTACCGATTTATCATTTTAACCCTGTCTAACACTTGTCTCTAATAATCATTGATATCTCTTTCTCCATCTCTTCACCTCTTCTCCATCAGGTACGTCTTCTCCATCTCTTCTTCTCCAAAATCGCCTCTTCTCCAATCGATGAACAAATCGATACCCTAACCCTAGATATCGATAACCCTATACGATGAACAAATCGATACCCTAACCCTAGATATCGATAACCCTCTGCGACGTGATACATCGGAAATCACAATCGATACAGAATTCGAAATTACCTTGATCGTGAGATCAGGAGGAAGAGGCCATACGACTGCGTTGTGAAAGGAAGATCGTTTACGATCAGACCGTTTTCCGGCCTCGAGGCGAACAGAACCGAGGTGAAGAGCGATTTGGATCAAGTCGTTTTGATCGGAATCAGATGACCTAGATTTGATGAGACTGTCGAAAGAGGTGTTGATTGAATCGAAATCGGAGACACCTAAGAAGGATTCCAACACCGTATCGTTGTCAAAGCGATCGTCGTCAGGTTCCGATGACATCGTTGGTGGAGATTTGGCGGTGGAAGGTTCAGAACAGCAAGGACGTTTGGCCATAGAAAGACTGTCTTTTTTGGTCATTTTACAGATATAAGCAAAATTTGTCAAACACTAAAAAACAACTTATCAGCTTATTGTAGTTTGGTACCGCTATAAGCTAATCCAAACACTTTTTACAAAACTCCGGTTTGATACCGCATAAGTTAATAAGCATTTTTACAAAAAAACATAAGTTGTTTTAAATAAGCAATCCCAAACACCCCCTTAGTTCGAGCTTGATAAATAGTTATTTAGTTCTAGTCGAGCTTTGATTTTTACTATTTGCGAGTTTTCGAATCGAGTTCTAATTTTTACTCCTTGCAAGTTTTCGAGTTGTGTTCGAGCTTGAAAATTGGGTTGAGTATACTGATAGTCAAACTCGACTCACATCGTTTACACCCCTATAATTTTTTCAATTAAAACACASGGACCAATAATATAATTTACTCTATTTTTTATTTAAATCTAGGGACCAAGAACTGTAGCCACGGCCATCGCCGCTAAACTCTACCTTTGCTCTCCACGGCCACCGCCTTCTCCCCCTTCCCTACCGGAGAAACGTCATTTCAGCCTCCAGGTACAAGATGCTGGAGAAGCAGATCCAGATCTGTGATCTCCTCAAACGACGACGCTTGGTCTTCCCGACCATCGCCTCTCCCTCTTCACTCCGGCCCCATTTTGGCCATGTATAACGATGCTCGTATTTGGATGAACGATCGAGCATAAACTTTGAGTTTATAAATGGATCAAACGCCCACAGTTTTACAGGCAAACAAATTACATTTGTTTGAATCCATTCAAGTTTATATATAACTACCAAATTCTGAATTTATGTCACAAGTTAGAGGCATTATTTATTCACAATTTTGATCTTCATCAACCTCTGCTTGAATTCTGTTTGATCTGTTAACTTCTCTACCATCCCTCTTTCTCTTCAACTTCCTCTTTGATATCTCTTCTTTCTCATCCGCAAACGATAAAAACCTCTGCAATCGCACCGATCGAGACCCCTTTTCCGGTGACGGATCGTGTTTTCCAAACTCCCGAAGCACCATACAGAAGTGTATACCGAGAGCAAGAGCGCAAGCTACTCCGAAGATGAGAAATAGTCCACAAAAGCTTTCTAATTGAAGCTGGTCCGAATCCGAGTTCCGCAAGGAGCAGGTTTTTCTCTTGAGCCAATGGTCGTGAATCTTTTGAAGCTCGCCGTTCTCCATTAACGTTAGGATCGCAGTCGATATGTCAACTGCCAATGGGGAGTCCCTTGGAAATGCCTAACAAATCATCACATAACACATATCATTCATAATCTGATTGGCAGTTGCAGAATGGTTTGGTGCAAAATTGTTTGGTATAGAATGTTTAAGTGGTCAGAATGATTAGTAGGCTTTCATGATATAGTATAAAATAAAATATAATTATTTGGTAATTGTTTACAATGGAATCAGGGTGCTTAATGGTTAAGGGAGACTTATGATAAAAAATCATTCAGAGGGTTTTAGAACTAATAAAAGGCAGATTTTTTTTTGTCTAACAAGATTCACTTCTTAATGATTTAGATGTTGCCACTTAATGAAACTGTTAAGAGGTAAACAAACAACCTCAAAGTCTACAGGAACAATTACATTATAAAATGTTACAATAAGTTGATATGACGTATTTTTTACGCTTTAACAAGTTTTTTAATATACTTTTGAAATAAAGTGTTATATTAACTCTTTTCGTAGAACATTTGTTTCTATAGAACACTAGAAAGACTAATGAAAAGTCTTATTTTCAAAAGTTGTACTAAAAGAACTTGTTAAGAAGTCCAAAAACATCTTATCGACTTATTGTAACACATTTATATAGGATGTACGATTGTTTGGTCCTGTAAACTTAATTAAAGTCTTAAAAAGCATTCTATTTACATATATTTGACATTCTATAAAGCCGATTTTACTGTAAAAAGTACGGAGATACTTACGAAGCCCCACCCGCTTTTCGTGAACTCTTGGCCGACGACTTGAAACCGGCAGTAGTTTGAAAGGAAGAGGTCGACGTACGGCCTTTCATCAACAATGGCAGCAACTATTCCTCCTCCAAGTTTCTCAGCATATTCTTCAGGGGAGCCAAGGGCAACAAGTCTTGATTTTGGTATGTTGAGTTCTTCCATCAAATAATTCTCGGAAAACGATCCTATCTGAAACCCGATGCGTTCRTTGCTAGCGATCAATGAATCGATCCCTCTGATGGGAGATGAAAGTTGTTGCRYGGTTAAGATCGATGTGAGGYTAGCCGTGTAGCTTGAGTTGATGATCAGAACCACGAAAAGCCAGATGAAAAGAACCATCCGACCAAGGGTGCTCACCGTGTTTTCTCCTGAAAGTTTATGACTTCATCATCAATTTCGCTCTCGTCACCCGTTACTATTCGAATAGATAATCAGAGGTTTGATACTTACTGTGTGAGAAAAACATAGTTGACAACGTAAACCTGCAAAATGAAGAACAAATCTTACAAAAGAACCGATGAATTAAGCAATATCTCTGAGAATATCTGGTACACCATTAGATTACTCTTCAAAAAAACCCTTAAGAGAGAGGGAGGGGGGGGGTTAACATACATATGGAGAGAAATGGTCCAAGTTTAGCTGATTAATGACTTCACACCCCACTCTAGCAGAGGATAAACAGGCTGTGCCAGACGTCTATAGGGGCGCAGACACAGATTGTCCCAGATTAATGTCTATAGGGGCCAGACTGACACAGATCGTCCCCAGATTGTCTGGTTTCTAAACGTCTATAGGGGGCAGACTGACATAGATTGTCTCATATTGTCCGGTTTCTAAATGTCTATAGGGGGCAAACCGACATAGATTGTCTCCTATTGTCTGGCTTCTAAATGTCTATAGGGGGCAGACTGACATAGTTCGTCCCAGGTTGTCTAGTTTCTGAAGTGGAAGACCATGGTCCTGATATAATGTGCGTATGTGTATTAATCTCCAAAAAAGCCATTTAGGAGCGAACGGGTTTACATACAGAGAAAAAATTGTCCAAGTCTAACAGATATGAGACTGCTCACCAAAAGATGGTGGCCAACTGTTTCTTTGGCGGCCCCCTAAATTCGTCGTTCAGCCTGTGTTCCAGTATCCAGATGACAGCTCCAATGACGAGAAAGGAAACTCCGGTGACCGCCCACATGAGCGGAGTAAAAGGCCGCAAGAAAGCCCAAGCACTCGAGTTTAGCTTCTTTATGGGCACGACTACAACCAGACCCGACTCTATATACGGCTGTGTGAAGTCCGCGGCCTTTGTACGGTTAGTGATAATTGCGACATCACCAACAACAGCATCGAACACCTAAATAAAAACGGCAATTTTACCACCCATAAAGATTAGATCGTGAAAATATCTGGACCCCGTTAGATTACTTTCCAAAATAACAGTAGTTTACTCACGTTATATGACACTTCATTCACAAGCTCGGTGTAGCTCGGATTCTGACGACCATTCCCATACATAATGAACTCGTAAGGAACCGGATATTGAATCAACTTTATTGCAGCCATGAAAACATCTAYGCTAAATCCATGGATTTCGTGCGAACTGTTAACTACTGTAACGATTTCTTTGAAACYAACTCTCAACGGAACTCCAATCCTTAATGGCCTTCCGTTGTTCGAAAACTCCCATCCACGAGGCCGATCYTTTGTGTTCCCAGGCCATACTACACTTCTCAGATGCTGGTTGGCAATAGAACGGTTCGATGGTTCTGCATAAAGAGTCTCTGGCGACTGAACCGTTAGCCCAGAGTGGTTCGACCAGTATCCRAGACGCCGACCCTGGTTCCCAACTAGATTGATTACATCAAAAGAAGGGTGTMTCAAGGATTGATCAAGATTGAACCAAAGGGGTCCYGTTAGACCACTCATATTTGTTTGCARTATGTTYCTAAGCAACTGTTTTCCACCATTAAAGACACTAAGTGCTCCAAAATTCAGACTTTTGGCCYTTCTCAAACCACCCARACYTGAATCMTTAGAGAAAGAAATCTTGCCACCTTCTTTCAAGAACTTATCAATGGCATAGGCAATCATCCAAACTGTATCATAAGCAAATAAACCATATGGGTTCAGCCCAATTTCACCATTACTCAGATTCTTCCACCTTCTTATAAAAGCTCGTTTCTTATCCGAATCCGGTGTATGTGGACGGAGTGTTAGAACACCTTGTACAGATGGAGCGTGAGCAGGAGAAACACCTGTTGAATCCAAAACAGTCGATAACCAAGTGGTCGCGATCCAAACGTATCCCTTCTTCATCATGCCAAGACTCTTAGCAGTCTCCATAACCATAAGACCCACTTTCGAGTAAGTATGCACAACAATGACACGAGATTCCATCGATCTCACTTTAAGTAATATATCCTTGATATCTTGCGAAGACAACGAAGAAACGGGTGGAAATGGTGCTTTATAAGAGAGCTTACAAAGCCTTTCGGAAAGTTGATCACCCAATGTAGATATACTATTCCGAAACTGATCATCATCTGTGAATATCGCAGTTACTTCTCTGTAACCAAAATAGCTTACCATCTCAGCAATGGCGGTCATCAGATAAAGATCATTGGGGGCTGTTTGGATAAAGAAAGGGAATTGAAGGGGCGAAAGTGTGGGGTCTAAGGCCGTGAATGACAAAAATGGAACGAGGAGCTCGTTTGCAAGATGCGAAAGTACATGAGCCATCACAGAGCTTTGTGGACCGATMACAGCCAAGGTATCAATCTCCATGTACTTTAGAGCTGTAAAAACATCAAATATATATGAAACATATACAGAAGTAGATATATATATATATATATATATATATATATATATATATAGCATATGTGAAGAAATAAAGGCTTAAATGGTTAGTTTTACCACCAACGATGCTGAGGAAACCACTGAAGTTTGCATCATGAATTGAAAGACTCAATTTTTTTGAGGGTAAAATGGTGGGATCAGAGTTGACATCAAGAACAGCAGCTTTCATGGCAATGGTTGAAACTTTTCCATTGATTGTTTTTGTGTTTAGAATGGCTCCAATGTTGACTGTATTGGAAAATACAACTGAAAGGGTTCCAAAAACCAACAGGACACAAAGAAGAAACAAGACTACTGAACTCCCCATAGCTTTAGAAACACCCTTTCAAATCTGTATCAGAAAGCAAACAAATGAATATAAGAAGAGAAGGGGTGTTTTTAGATAGTGGAGGACAATCAATGGCATATGAAAGGAAACAAAAAAGGTGAGAAAGGCACAAACCCATTTGAGAAATTTAGCATCTTTCCACAGTGAGAAACAACAGAGACAAGGAGAAGCAAGAAATAAAGGGCTATGAACAGGGGTTGTGGATGGCATGTGAAAAAAGTAACAGAGAGGCAGCTTTCAGTGACAGACACAGGGGGTGATGAAGAATCAAATCTTGAAGATGAAGAAGATGAAGAGGGGTTAATGGGGTGGGTAGAAGGAGGGTTTTCAAGAAATCTTGAAATGTTATTGCTTGAAAAGGGAATTGCTTGGAGGAGTTGATGGTTGGATTCCCACTACTTTGAGTGGAGTGGGGGGAGGCAGGCAGACCTCTCTCTCTTTTGTTTTTGTTAGGTTTCTTTGTTTTTTAGATCCTGGGAGAATGTTTTAGATGTTGTTGCCCTTTTTCTAACTTTGGGTAATGAATGATATACACCTTCATAGATGTTAGGAAATCTATGCACTAAAAATGTATGCTAACTACACCCCCTACCCTTGTTGTAATATATTTTTTGTCTTTTTGTTGTCTTATTTATTTAGGTGTTATTTGGCGATTGTTAAATGATTTGATACAGAATGATTAAGATACTCTGATGACAAAATGCAAAATGAAATATAATTGTTTGGTAATTATTTACAATAAAATTAGGGCGTTTAATGGTTAAAGAAGGCTTAAGATACAAAATTATTCAAAGAGTTTTAAAACTATTAAGAGACAGACTTTTTACACATTTTAATGATTCAGAGACTGGCTCTTAATAGAACTATTAAAAAGGTAAGCAAACAACCTCTTAGTATTTTTTGTTACTTGAATATTTGTATTATAATTGAATTATATAATTTATTAATTAATTCTTTTTTTTTTCTCTTTTTCTCTTTTGTTACTTTTTTAATCATTATTTATATAAATAAATGTTTGTTTTTTTATTGTTTTTTATGTCATTATTGCGTACATAACGAAAACCAAACCAAATAAAACATAAAAATGTTT